AATTAATGAAGGAATGGATGAATGAATGAGTGATGGAATGAATGGATAAGTGAATGGATGGATGAATGAATGTGTGAATGAATGAATGAATGATGGAATGAATGAATGAGTGAATGGATGAATGAATGAATGAATGAATGAATGAGGAAATTGATGAATGAATGGGTGAGTGACTGAATGAATGAGGGAATGGATGAATGAATGAATGAGGGAATGGATGAATGAATGAATGGGTGAGTGACCGAATGAATGAAGGAATGGGTGAATGGATGGATGGATGAATGAATGAGGGAATGGATGAATGAAGGAAGGAAGGAAAGAATGGATGAATGAATGAATGAGGGAATGGATGAATGAATGGATGAATGAATGGATGAATGAATGGATGAATGAATGGATGAATGAATGAAAGAATGAAGGAATGAGGGAATGGATGGATGAGGGAAAAGGTGAGAGAGTGAATGAAGAAATGGATGGATGAGTGAATGGATGAATGAGGGAAAGGGTGAGTGAGTGAATGGATGGATGAAGGGATGAATGAACAAATGAGGGAATGAATGTGTGAATGAGTGCAGAAGCATCATTAGGAGGTTCTGGCCTCAGCCCTTTGCTCCATAGATGCACAAACATATTTTTTGGAGGGAAAGGAGGCGGGGGGGGTACCCCACTTGCTTACCCCACTTGTCTCCCGCAAGGACTGGGCAGCCGGCATGCAGGGTGGCCTCGTCCCCTCGCCCGTTCTTCCGCAGGTTCCACCAGAAGAGAGCAGCGTTCTTGGAAGAGACCAGAAGGGGCCGTGGTAGAAACTGGGGTCCACTCAGAAATGGCCCCCAGCCCAGGTAGGAGGAATGGGGGGGGGCCTTCGGAGAAGACGAGGGAAGACTCACAGGGGTGATGGACGGCCTAAGCATTCAAGGAGTGAGCGAAGGAGTGAGTGAGTGAATGGATGGATGGATGGATGGATGATGTGAGGATGAATGAGGGAATGAATGCATGCATGAGTGAGTGAGTAAATGAATGAGCAAGTGAGTGAATGAATGAATGACAGAATGGATGAATGAGTGAATGGATAAATGAGTGAGTGAGTGAATGAACGATTGACTAAGTGAATGAATTCGTGAGCGAATGGATCGATGGATGAATGAGAGAATGGATGAATGAATGAATGAATGAGTGAGTGAATGAGTGAATGATTGACTAAACGAATGAATGGGTGAGCGAATGGATCAACGGATGAATGAGTGAATGGATGAATGAGAATGGATGGATGAATGAATGAGCGAGTGAGTGATTGACTAAGTGAATGAATGGGTGAGCGAATGGATTGATGAATGAATGAATGAATGAGGAAATGAATGAATGAGTGATTGAGAGAATGGATGAATGAATGAGGAAATGGATGAATTAGTGAGTGAATGAGTGAGTGACTAAGTGAATGAATGGATGAATGAATGAATGAATGAATGAGGGAATGGATGAGTGAGTGAGGGAATGAATAAGAGAATGGATGAATGAGTGAGTGAGGGAATGAATGAATGATTGACTAGGTGAATGAATGGGTGAGTAAATGGATGAATGAGGGACTGAATGAATGGATGAGGGAATGGGTGAATGAATGAACAAATGAGTGAATGAATGTGTGAATGAGTGCATAAGTAAATGAATGAGTGAGGGAATGAATAAGCGAGGGAATGGATGAATGAATAAATATGTGAGTGAATAAAACAACTGCCACAAAACAGCTTGCAAAATAGGGTACGGTCTCACAATAACCCACTTAAATGACCGTCACAACCATAACTGCGGGCTCAATGACACTCATAAATCAAGACCAGTTTAGGGGCTGATCTTAAATCCAGCATTTTTTCTCCTGTATTTAGGAAGGCCAGAATAACATTATAAGCCTTGTCCATCCTTTGATTTTTGCAATATTTCTTTTTTTTGGGGGGGGGGTGGCTATTCCAAAAAGGAAGAGGAGGACGAAGTCAGGATTTGACCAGCGAGAAGAAAACCAGCCCGGAGGGGAATTGCAAACCGGACGGGGCTCACCTGGATAACCGGCACACTCAGGTTTGCATAAATAAAGGCCGTGGATCCTCCAGCTTCTACCGAACTCAGCTAAAAAAAAAAAGGCAAGAGAAAAGATGGAAGATAGATAGAATCTTAGAATCCTAGGGCTGGACGGGACCCTGGAGGTCTTCTAGTCCAACCCCCTGCTCAATGGTACTCTAGGTGGACATCAGACAAATGGTTGTCCAGCCTTTCTTGAAAACCTCCCGTTCTGTTTTTAAATTGCTGGCTGAATATAAAGACAGTCAGGTACAACTCTACAAAGGCTTCCATACAAAGTTTCTTTATTGGATCACAAGGCATCCTCAAGGTATAACTCAGAGTTATGTCGAGTTCCATCTAATGTCCAAATCTTTGCATAGCTGACTTCATAGTGTGAAAGTGTAGTGATCTTCATCCCGTAACGATGGAGCAAAGGGCGAGATACCTGCACGATGCTGGGGTCCAAGCAAGAAGAAAGGAAACTCCCCCAACCCAACCCAGGGTCAATTCAGTGACCAATCAGGATTACAGATGCGATCACATGACAACAGATAACAGATCATCAGAGTTGGAAGGGACCTTGTAGATCATCTAGTCCAACCCCCCACCCAAGCGGGAGACCCTACGTGACTTGAACTACATTTCCCATGAGGCATTCCCTTAAGGGGACAGCTCCCAATTCCTAACTAATCATTTACTGTCTGGACAGCACACCTCCAGCAATGGAGCACCCCCAACCAGGGGTGGGCGGTTCGGTGAGTATGCGCTTGGCTTGAACCCAGAGCCAGTTCGGCCATCTCTTGCACCCTTCACCCGAGTTCAGTTCTGCCCTGGATGTCCGAGGAAGAAGGGAAGATAAAGAGACTGAAAACTCACGTAGACCATCAACGTAGCTATTCGGTTTCCTGATTTCATCTGATACAGGGGGCTTTTCCTTGACTGGATCAGAAGGAAAAAGAAACGGAGATTTATTTGTGTTTTGAATTGAGACCAGTTTGTGGCAGGATCAGCCAGGGAGTTTACAACGCCCGTATCGTTTGCGTGCGCGGGTCAATTCCCAACATACTTTTATTTTTATTTTTTTCTCCACCTTTATTGTTATTTTTTTTTTATAAGTAAGGTGATTAACATACACAATACTCCCCCCCTCCTCCTCCTATCTTCCCCACAACAACCTTGTGAGGTGGGTTGGGCTGAGAGAAAGGGATTGGCCCAACGGCATCTAAGGCGGGACTAGAACTCACAATCTCCTAGCGATTGGCCCAAAGACACTCAGCTGGCTTTCATGCCTAAGGCGGGACTAGAACTCCCCGTCTCCTGGTGATTGGACTGAAAGTCACCTAGCCAGTTTTCATGCCTAAGGCGGGACTAGAACTCCCCGTCTCCTGGTGATTGGACCAAAAGTCACCTAGCCAGTTTTTATGCCTAAGGCAGGACTAGAATTCACCGGCTCCTGGTGATTGGCCCAAAGTTACCCAGACTGCTTTCATGCCTAAAATGGGACTAGAACTCCCCGTCTCCTGGTGATTGGACAGAAAGTCACCTAGCCAGTTTTCATGCCTAAGGCAGGACTAGAACTCACAGTCTCCTGGTGATTGGACCGAAAGTCACCTAGCCAGTTTTTATGCCTAAGGTAGGACTAGAACTCACAGTCTCCTGGTGATTGGACCGAAAGTCACCTAGCCAGTTTTCATGCCTAAGGCAGGACTAGAACTCACAGTCTCCTGGTGATTGGCCCAAAGTCACCCAGCTGGTTTTTGTGCTTAAGGGAGATATTATTCCTCCCCATCACTGTCTTGTTCTTTCCTTTTGGGGAAATCCTTGGTTAGAAATGAAGATATTTTTGCCTCAGAGGATGGAAAAGCTGTTCTCCCATGCAAAGGGCTTGCAACAGGTTTACTCACCGTCGCATGGTCGAAGTGGGGCTCGTAGTGGCCTCCCAGCCCGTAGTTGACCACCTGGAGGTATTCTGCGTAAGGGTGCTGGCTATTCAAGCCTGTTAGGGCCGCAGCCCTTCGACCCAATGCCCCGACCACAGGATCCAGGCTGTCCTTCAGCCAAGCGCTGAAAAAGACCCAGGAATAGCGGCAGCCCGACAGTGAGCCACAAAATGGCTTCCGCCCGAGAGCAATTCCACGACTTTGGAACGAGCTGCCTCCATAAACGGTGGGAACTCCAACACCGGAGGCTTTCAAGAAGAGACGGGACAGCCATTTGTCTGCAAAGGGGTAGGGTCTCCCGCCTGAGCAGGGGGGGTTGGGCTAGAAGACCTCCAAGGTCCCTTCCAACTCTATTGTTGAATTATTCTGCTATTCTGACTTAATTCATAACTCTGATCAAAGTAGGGGAGAGGAGGAGGAGGAGGAAGAGGAAGAGGAAGAGGGTGAGGAGGACTGTGGGGTCCTTGGTGCTCTCTGAGCTTCGTTGTTTTCTTGGAGACGTTACATGACCCAACTAGGGAACATTATCAGCGCTAGGAGGGAGTGGGGTTTGCAAGGAGGAGGAAGAGAAAGAGGAGGAGGAGTTGTGGGGTTCTTGCTGCTCTCTGAGCTTGGTTGTTTTCTTGCAGACATTTCATGACCCAACTAGGTAATGTCATCAGTGCTGGAAGGGAGGGGGGGTTTGCAGAGAGGAGGAGGAGGAGGAGGAGGAGGAGGAGGAGGAGGAGGAGG